TTCATTTATGGCCTTTTATGTTTTGCTGACTTATGTTAATGCGCTTGGAAATATTGATCTTTTTGAATTGGAAGTTTCCTGTATCGAGGAACAAACTCTAAAAGTTACCCAGCCCTAGTACTACGTGTATACTTTTTTACCTTTCTGACTTTTTGTTTGGTTTTCTCTCTTAATGTATTTACTGTATATGTTTAATTCATTGGTTTTAATTTGTCTCATGATTTGCACCAAACTGCATGGGTTAAATGTTACTGAAACTTTTCTGCCATTTCTTCACTTATAGCCTCTGTGGGGTTCTGCCTTTAGTCCTACTCGAACTTTCCCACTTCACATTCATCTGCTCACTGTCTATAAAGTCTTAATTACACACATAGAAATTCTGTGCTATAATAGTATCGCTCAACAGCTCTTTCTCGTTTCATTGTCTTTGGCATATCTGTCTCCCTGGCTGCCCTCTCCTCATTAAGCATATGTCTCATTCTCCATTTCAGACAGAAGATAGCATAGAAGTGCACACAAAAGCACTATTTTCTCTGCATGGCGCTCAACGGGTCTTAAATTGTGATGAGGAGGAGGAGACAAAGGCAGCCGTGGCCCAGGGGTGCGGAGCGGGGCAGGCCGTGTCGTCAGTGCCGAGCCGTGCAGAATGCAGATGGTTCTGTAACGAGGGATTAAGTGTGAGATTATAGTGCTTTATTAAGATGTTTCTGATCCTCATTAGGTTCCATCTTATATCAAGCCATCGATCCCCACTTGCACACAAAATAGGCTGCTCTCTGGGGGGCGGCGAGTGAAAGAGGGGGAGAGGGAAGTTTAATGATTAATCTTCAAATTATTCAGATTTTTTTTTGAAGGCAGGAGTGCTGCTTGGATGTGTCCTTTTGGTGTTCTTCAGTGCAGGGGTCAGTGTTCAGATGCAAAGAAATGTAAAGGTTGTCACCCTCAAAAGGGATATGAATAAAAACCTTTATGATCACACTAGTAGTCATTAACTTAAACAGACTTTTATGTCAATTACCATGTGGGAATAAAGCCTCTTAATACTCGCTTTTTGAATGTTTCAGTCTTCAGATTTTTATTTTTGAATTTTATGTTATAATAGTGACTCGCATCTTGGAATTCAGACCAAGAGCTCTCAAGTTTTGAAGAGTTTTGAGGAATTCAAATTGTAGGGTATTCATTAAATTAAAACATGAACAGTATTCCTGGAATGCATATTATGCATCTACAAGTAAAGGAAACGAGGACAATCCAATGCACAAATGTTTAAAGTTTATGCAGGATTAGACTAAACTTCCTTCAAACCCGTGCTGCAAACTGACACATTCTTTGTCAATGGCACAGACTTTGGAGATTCCACTGATTATAAGATAAATGTCCTGGTAGTGTATTGATTGTTTTGTTTTTCATTCTACTTAGGTGAGCATGGGCAAAGCGACCCCAGAAGAGTTCTGTAAGTAACCATTTATATTATTAGAATTTATTACTTTTAATTCAGATTGAGATTTCTCTCTGCTGCTAACTAAATTGAAATTTGACTTTTCCACAAGATGCTGAATGAAATGAATGAACCTTCTTTGAGCATGCAAAGGCTCTAGACTTATATAAATCTCTAGTAACCAGAGCACAAGAGTTAGGTTTTGACAGCTTTATTCAGTGCATAGCAGTGGCCTAGTAGCAGGAGTCGGTGATGCGCCTCATGCTCATGAACCTCATGCTGCTCTGGCCCATGTTCATGAAGTTCCTGTACTCTCCAGGTCTGAAGTACATCATCCTGCCTCTGTACTGGGGCTGCTCGTACATCAGCCAGTGTCCGTCCATCACGTGGCAGGACATGCAGTTGTTCATGCGGTAGCGGTCCATGACGTTGTCGCAGTCGTCCATCAGCTCGTACATCTGACCACTGAAGTTCTCCCTCTCGTAGATCTTCATTCTGTAGTTTCCGCGGTACTGTGGAGCAGAGACAAAAGAGGGACTGTTGAAAGGGGTAGAATAATGAAATATAGCCAGAGTTGTAAAAAGAGGTGGTATTAGAGAGTCAGGTCTGCCTATTTGTTTGCTGCAGGGAGTGAACCTAAACTAGTATGATGAACTAACTAACCATAGAGTGCTTTGAGATTTCAGTCCTGGATCTACAGCCTCAGTCCTGCTTCTACAGCCTGAGTCCTGGATCAACAGCCTGTTCTGGTTCTACGGCCTGAGTCCTGGATCTACAGCCTCAGTCCTACAGTACTTCTAGATCCTGTATCCACTTTAGAAGGACTGTGATGATCTTAAGTCAAGCGCATTATGAATAAATTGAACATAGTCCTTGTAGCATTTCATGTCATAATCAGAAATTAATCTATATACGTTACCACCACGATTGTTTCTAAATATATTTCAAGCTGCATTTGAATCATTAGACCATAAAAATTCATCTTATGTTCTTACCATGGGGATCATGCGGCAGGACCTGATGGAGTCGCTCATTCCCATCATGCTCATGTAGTCAGCGTACTCGCCCCTCCTCATGAAGTACTGGTTTCCCATGTAGTTGCTGCGGTCGTACACGATGAAGCAGCCCCTCTCCACCCTGCAGGAGTGGCACCTGCTCAGGTAGGAGGACATGTCGGGGCAATCGCTCATGCACTCATAGGAACGACCCTGGAAGTTCCTGTCCTCGTAGAAGATGATCTGGGAAATAAGGGCTCATTTTGTTATTTTACTACTCAATGCAATGTTATAGTTAAATAGTTTTTGCTTCACAAGATACAATCAGTTTGAAATAGAGCACCAATCAAGGAGTAACTGGTGAAGAGGAGGAGTAGAATCAGTCAGTATTAAACTAGGCCACATTGATAAAAATGGTACATTCCTTTTGTAAAGCCCAGAAACGGGACACAAAACTGCAGAACTGATGAGCCCTGCCTCCACATGGTATGATTTCATTATTACCCTAAGTAGCTATGCTGCAGTCTCATGACAGAGAGTTTGCTGTAAGTTTGTGGCATGTAATTATCAGCATGTTGGTAGATATCAAAATAAAAATATCCAGACTCACTCTGCTCATCATGTTCATTCCAGAAGAAGTCATGGTTGCTGGTCAGTGGGCTGCTGTTGCTGCTTTGCTGATGGAGCTGCTGCTGTTTCTTGCTCTTGCACCAAACTGTGTCTATCCTGGTTTAACCCTTTCCTTTTATACCTGACCCAAACGCTGGCCTTTTGTGTAAACTGCCTACGCTGGCAACATTGCCACAGAAAGGCACAGAATATTTGGGGATTGTCCACATTTCCAGAGGCCAGTGGGCTCAGAAGTCTTTTCAGTGGCTGTTTCTCGTCAGAGGATGAGAGAAAAGGTTAACAATTGCCAGTCATGCTTTGACTGTTTAGATGGCCCAGCATTAGTCCATGAGCACTGTTCCGTCAGCAATACCTTTATGTGCGTTTTGTGTTAATCTTATGTTGAGTTTAGCATGTGAATTCATAAGGCTTATCCAAACATGCATGTCTGTTTTTGTTTGTTTTTAGATAACATTATAACAATACAGATAGCCCTACATAAAAGCTTGATTGACTGTTTTCAAAAGTAAAAAGATTATGTGAATTTGAAATTGCTGTGATCAAACAGGCCCCAGTCAGACAAGCCTCACCAACAGATCTGGTATACTACTACCGAGTATAGTTTTATTGTTGGCATTGTTTTTTGAAAAGATAATTTTACGTTCTGTAATAAACATAGTGACAAAATCTGTCATAAATATAACAGGACATATGACAGGTGATCTATTCTGTCATGAAAGATTCACATTAGGCCCTTCAGCGTATTATTTGGCACAGGTTGGCATCATATATACACGATTATTGTGGCTATAACAAAAATACATGGGGTAAATAAGACATAGTTGTCAAGTCATATTTTTGTAGATGTGGTTTTAAGGTGTGTTGTAGTCTATATTTTACTGGAACAATCAAACAAATACTGTTAGCTTTTTTGAGCGCTATTCTTGCACAAAGCTATGCATGCACAAAGTGATATTACTTTTAGCTCTGCTCAATGATGGTCATACAGTAGATCCATGGATCAGGTATTCAGCCACATACAGTCCCTGCTCTCTCCAGAGGAGGCGCTCTTCAGCCCAAACACAAGCGTTGCTAAGGAAGTGGCAGAGCTAGCATCGTTTCATCACTCCTCTAGCTAACTACTCGCTCCAAACTTTCATACAAAGGTAAATTATTTTATATAAACAGCTGGCATGACGTTTCCAACTGTACAATAGATGCGTTTCTTTTAGTCTAGTCTGACTGGCTGATGTGGAAGCATGACTTGTTATTTTGAGTTTGACAATTGGATTTATTTAGCAACTCTTCACAATCTTAAACGCTAGTCGCTAATTGTTATTTGAACCCATACATTTATTTATTGTTTTATATAGTTAAAGGCTGAAACCCATCAACCTAATTACTCTAATTAATATATCCACCGATATGGATATTGTAAGAATCTACAAATTAATAACTCTTGTTACTTGGCTGATATAAAGTCCTTCCTTATGACTGTTGTTGTGATATATGTCTAATAATACTTACAGTTGAAGATATTCTCCGTTCATTTCTGATTGAGTGTTGTAATGATGCATATGTACAAGGAAATAACATATTTGGTGATGCTAATAAGTATAAGTGAGATTCTTAAGTGAAACATGTACATTTATTGCTTGAAATAATGTTTGCTACAAAGTTGTGTCTCTGTTTCAGGTAATGAATAATCTCCATGAGATCAAAAGGCCTTAAACATGACATGAGGATGAGTGAGAATGGAGTGGACAAAAATCTCCAACGGTGTGACATCTCCCTGCTTAAACGAGATACAACGCCTGTCAGATTGAGTGAAACATGCTCTTCCACAGATTCACTGAAAGAGGAAGTAAAATCACTGCACGCTTCAAGTGGATATCTCCCTGAAGTTGCCTCAATTAGCTCTCCAGTGTTTGGACAGAGGAAAAGCAGTTTAGACGACTATGAGCTGCAAAGGCCTCAAAGTCAGCAGAGCGACCCTACAGAGCTGCGGACAAGACTCTCCCGAGCGCGTTTGTCCCCCCTGCAACCCACCGGACTGCTTCCTAGTCTGGAGACAAACTTTGCATCAGTCTCTCTACGAGCTAATAGGATTGACAGGGATTGCTTGGATTACATGGGGCAGACCAAACGCAACGAGAGACTGCACCGAAACCTGAGTGATAGCAGGCTGCTGGAGACCATGGGATCGGACAGCGCCTCTGTCCACTCCATGAGGTCTAACTACAGTGTGCTGAGTCCCATCAAACCAAAGGACGTGAGGAACAGGTAGATGGAACTTTTGTAATAAGCAATAATTTAAATAAAAAGCATGTGGACATTGTGCACTTTTTGAATATGCAGTGGTTTTACAAAGTTCTGCTTTGTCTTTTATGACCATTATTCAGACAGCATTTAGTATGAAAACCATAGACTGGCTAATTTCATCCCAATGAGTAAAAGTAACATTGTGGTGAGTTTTGAGTTTCTCTGTTGCATGCGGCTTGTTTTTTCTAAAACTAGAACTTACATGTGCACTAGGGCTGTGCCAATATATGAAATATAAAAACCATGTTGATTATTGCAATTTTGGAAGATTGCAATTATTAACTACTGAAATAAAATCGAGAAAGACACATGTGGTAGTGTTCAACGAATTTAGGATCGTTAAGGACAGCTGGCAGTTTTTACCTATCCTCACCCATGAAATTATATCAATAAAAAAAAAGTTATGTCGTTTTCAAGGTGAAAAAGTTATTTTCTATTATTGGAAGTTACATGGTGTAAACACAGCACAACCAGATCAGTACACACTTGCTTTATAGCTAGTGATTATAGCTTTGACAGTTATGGGTTGTATGTTTTTGCAGAAGCTTTTTGGAGGGAAGTGTGCTTGGAAATGGCGCTCTTCTCGGAGCAGAGGAGTTGGATCGCTACTTTCCGGAAAGAAGACTGGGGATCTATGTCACCACATGGAACATGCAGGGAGAAAAGGTAATGTTGAAGTGATTCTGAAGTTAAGCTGTGAATGAGTACAGGATCTGAACTGGAGAGAAACCACACTTGTCCAATATTTCAGGGCCTACCGGTCAACTTGGACGATCTCCTTCTTCCAACAGATTCAGAATTTGCACAAGACGTTTATGTTATCGGGGTTCAGGAGGGCTGCCCAGACAGGTATGATACTCCGGAATTATGATTATGTTTTTATCGACAAAAAACTTGTGGAACCGTTCTTAGCATCTATCTCACTTAGGAGGGAATGGGAGACCCGCCTTCAGGAGACTCTAGGGCCCTACTATGTCCTTTTGTACGGAGCATCCCATGGTGTTTTGTATCTTAGTGTTTTTATCCGAAGAGATCTCATATGGTTTTGCTCAGGTCAGAAATGTTACTTTTAGATTTTCAAATTTGATTTCAATGGAAACATTGTATTTGACTTACACTGGATTTGTACCCACAGAGGTGGAACATGCCACAGCCACCACCAGGATTGTCTCTCAAATTAAGACCAAAGGAGCTGTTGGAGTCGGTTTTACGTTTTTCGGGACGTCCTTTTTGTTTATAACATCCCATTTTACATGTAAGTGTAGATCTAGAATTATTAGAGTGAAGTTGTGTCCTGGAGTTTGGTCTTGAGAGCTTAAGTCTACCATAAGATTGAAGGTCACAGTGGTGGTGATGGAGATAGTGACATTAATGTGTGTGTTGCACAGAGATTTAAGAAAATTATACTATTTGAATTTCTATCTGTTAATTTCTTTGTACTATAGAGTACTATTCCAGTAATGCACTGTATTTTTTCAAAGAAAGTTTATTTGAACAATTGCCATTTGAAACAAACCTCTTTTGCGAGCTGAACAGTGAACAGAAAGAGTTGCTAAAAAAGGTAGCTGCCCAAACTGCAGTTATGTTCCTGCCTAAAGTAGAAATATTTTTGTTTTTCTGTGAATATTTTGTATTTCTTCATCATTTATGTATTTCCATTACTTCTATATGACAGACCCTTATTACTTTGTTTTATTTAGCTGGGGACTCCAAAGTCTATGAGCGAATTCTAGACTACAACAAAATTATAGAAGCTTTATCACTTCCGAAATGTCTTCCGGATACCAACCCGTACCGCTCCACTCCATGTGAGTAGTTTAAATACACTTTATATACTCTTCAAAACATAAATAACATTATTTTTTCTTCCTTGTTCATGCATAGCTGATGTTACTACAAGATACGATCAGGTGTTTTGGTTTGGAGATTTTAACTTTAGACTTGGTAAAGGTAGAGTGGAAGTTGAAAACATCTTAAATCGGATTGCAGACAAAAACATGGGGTCTCTGCTCGAGCACGATCAGCTCTCTAAAGAAATGAAGGATGGTAGGTTTCTTCTGTACATATGGATTTTATTCAAGAACAGATTGTGCATATTTGTTTTCTGTATTTTCTACCATTCAGGTTCAATATTCAAAGGTTTTCAAGAGGCTCCAATACACTTTATACCGACGTACAAGTTTGACATAGGCTGTGATATTTATGACACGTCTTCCAAGCAGAGAACACCATCCTACACAGTGAGTCAAGATTATTAACTATGAAAATGTAGTCTTTGTGTAAGTAAATGTAATGTTGTGTACAGGACAGAATTGTCTTCAGAAGCAGACAAGCACATGACATTCAAGTGATAAAATACACCAGTTGCACCAGCATCAAGACCTCAGACCACCGGCCTGTCGTTGGGGTGTTCCAGGCCAAGTTGAGGCCAGGTCGAGACAAGTATGTATTTTATAAAAATATACCACACTTCGCCACAAAAGCAGCAAATCTAGTTGTGCTTGCAGACCAAGTTCAAATAGTTCCAGCTTTTTAATTTGGTTTAGAGATATTAAAATATTATTAGGCAGTAAACGTACTGATCATATTTTGTCTGTTTTTGTCAGTATCCCTCTCGGAGCTGGACTGTTTGACCGAAGCCTTTACTTAGATGGCATCCGCAGAAGAATTACGAGAGAGCAGAAGAGGAGGGAGGCCATGAAGAACCAAAGCAGCAGTTCTATCTGCACAGTTTCTTGAATGGATGCTATTCAGATCAATTATAATTTTTGATTCAATCACTGACAGGGGCACGCTTATCTGGAATGGACTGTTGATTACCAAAAATGGGTAAAAGTACATAAGCAGACAGCGCCCTCTTTTGGCCCTTTGGTAGAGTAGCACACCGTAGGTGCCATGCTTTCGCAAAATGATTCACACTAAACATATTTAATGGCCATATATTTATTGTATTAACTTTTGAACTGCATTCCAGATCAACATTTCTTTTACGTGTTTTTTTTTTTTTTTTTTAATGGAAATTGTAGCAAGCATTGTGGATAATGGTTTCTTGAATGGAACAATTTTTACACTTCAGGGATTAAGGCAGCTTTTATTGCAAAAACCTAATTTTATTTCACCTTGGTTGAAAGAATGTAAACACATTGCCTTATTCTCATTTTGCTTTTTTGTAACATGTCCTGTCTTGTACGTCCACATACTGTACTGCATTAGTGTTAATGTTAACGAGCAGCTGTGGCTTTAGCCACTCACTCCGCAGCCTAAAAAGTGCCTCTACTTACCTTGTCTGTTTCATAAGACACTTATGGAGCTGTAATAAAGATTTTACTACATTATCACTTGCTTTATCTTTACAGGATTGAACTCAACATTTACAGTGCCTTGCGAAAGTATTCGGCCCCCTTGAACCTTTCAACATTTTGCTACATTTCAGGCTTCAAACAAAGATATAAAAATTAAAATTTCTCGTCACGAATCAACAAGTTGGACACAATCGTGAAGTGGAACAAAATTTAAATTATCCAATAAACTTTTTTAACAAATAAACTGAAGTGGGGCGTGCAATATTATTCGGCCCCCTTGCGCTAATACTTTGTAGCGCCACCTTTTGCTGCAATTACAGCTGCAAGTTGCTTGGGGTATGTCTCTATCAGTTTTGCACATCCAGAGACTGGAATTCTTGCCCATTCTTCCTCGCAAAGCAGCTCGAGCTCAGTGAGGTTAGATGGAGAGCGTTTGTGAACAGCAGTCTTCAGCTCTTTCCACTGATTCTCGATTGGATTCAGGTCTGGACTTTGACTTGGCCATTCTAACACCTGGATACGTCTATTTGTGAACCATTCCATTGTAGATTTGGCTTTATGTTTTGGATCATTGTCCTGTTGGAAGATAAATCTCCGTCCCAGTCTCAGGTCTTTTGCAGACTCCAACAGGTTTTCTTCCAGAATGGTCCTGTATTTGGCTCCATCCATCTTCCCATCAATTTTAGCCGCCATCTTCCCTGTCCCTGCTGAAGAAAAGCAGGCCCAAAGCATGATGCTGCCACCACCATGTTTGACAGTGGGGATGGTGTGTTCAGGGTGATGAGCTGTGTTGCTTTTACGCCAAACATATCGTTTTGCATTGTGGCCAAAAAGTTCGATTTTGGTTTCATCTGACCAGAGCACCTTCTTCCACATGTTTAGTGTGTCTCCCAGGTGGCTTGTGGCAAACTTTAAACGAGACTTTTTATGGATATCTTTGAGAAATGGCTTTCTTCTTGCCACTCTTCCATAAAGGCCAAATTTGTAGTGCACGACTGATTGTTGTCCTATGGACAGACTCTGCCACCTCAGCTGTAGTTATCTGCAGTTCATCCAGAGTGATCATGGGCCTCTTGGCTGCATCTCTGATCAGTCTTCTCCTTGTTTGAGATGAAAGTTCGGAGGGACGGCCGGGTCTTGGTAGATTTGCAGTGGTCTGATACTCCTTCCATTTCAATATAATTGCTTGCACAGTGCTCCTTGAGATGTTTAAAGCTTGGGAAATCTTTTTGTATCCAAATCCGGCTTTAAACTTCTCCACAACAGTGTCTCGGACCTGCCTGGTGTGTTCCTTTGTCTTCATGGTTCTCTCTGCGCTTTAAACAGAACCCTGAGACTATCAAAGAGCAGGTGCATTTATACGGAGACTTGATTACACACAGGTGCATTCTATTCATCATCATCAGTCATTTAGGACAACATTGGATCATTCAAAGATCCTCACTGAACTTCTGGACTGAGTTTGCTGCACTGAAAGTAAAGGAGCCGAATAATATTACACGCCCCACTTTTCAGTTTATTTGTTAAAAGTTTAAATTATCCAATAAATTTCGATCCACTTCACAATTGTGTCCCACTTGTTGATTCATGACAAAAAATTAAAATTTTATATCTTTGTTTGAAGCCTGAAATGTGGCGAGGGGGCCGAACACTTTCGCAAGGTACTGTAAATGTATTATAAATCATGAACAGTACTAAAGACAGTAACAAATTGTAGATTCAATATTTGAGACAAACCCTTAAGTGCAGTAATTCTACCCAAGGCCATGGATTCTTTGAGTACTTTATTTTTTCACATTTCTATTTATTACACTCTAAATGTAATAAACTCATCCTGCTCCTTTAAGCCTGGTTTGTATTAAATAGACCAAAGTTGGTACAGTTGGAAGGAGGAATAACGTCTTTGTCAATGGTTTCATGTCTTTAGACCAGTTCAGGGAGTTTAAAAGAATAGCTGATCTGGAGATGAACATTTTGAAACTATATTTGCACAACCAAGGTCAAGTTTTGGTTTACAGGGAAGCTCATTCTTATCTGGTATGTTTTATAATGGAGGTATTTTAACCAAAACATTTTTGAACAAATAGAGTAATATATGGATTGTATGAAAATTGGGCCAAAGGGTGAAGAATTGTTTTTGTAGATGAAAATCATTCACCTATCACTAATTGCATGGTATGTACAGTATTTAGAATAAAACAGGTCTAATTGAGGCCACTAAAAATGGTCTCGAAAGCTGGGCATCACATGTCTGACACCCCTGGCTTAGATGCTGCACCAAATAATGGTCCGTATACACAACATTGTCACTTGGAAAAAAGCAAAAGTAGGGCCTGTTTACATAAATAAGTGAATTCTTAATTTTACAGAAAATATTAACAGCCAAATGTAACACGGGCACACCCACATGATTCCGATTTAAGTGCAGTTGTCTCTTGAAATGTTGAGTCCAGTTCAGTTTTAATTTGTAGCTTGTAGGAAATCGATCTCGCTGAGGTCTATCTGAAGAGGCGGTACATGCGCGGCAGTCGTCCGTCTTTACTGGAAAGAGCGGTTTGAATGTGTTCATATGAAGGCAGCTCCGTCAGGTCTCCCAGAGCAGCCACTGCAGGCTTACTCCTCAGCATCTTTGTGGTCACGCGCTTGATATCAGCAGCCGTCACATTGCCTGCAACAAAAATACATTAAACATGTATTTTGAATCAATGTAAAAAAAAAAAAAAGTATGTGTAGAAATAGTGCAGTACTTACTGATTAATTCACAAAGTTCATGCGGTAGCTTCCTTTTTCCGGTGGACAAAACTTGACGGCCAACATCCTCAAAAATTACAGGACGAGACTCTAAGTTCATCATCAACATCGACTTGAGTTGTGTCTTGGCTCGCTCAAGTTCCATCTAAATATTTCACAATGCAAATACTGAGTAACAATCCAAAAGTATCAAAACACAAATCCAGTAGTTTAGGTTTTTTTTTTTTTTACCTCCCCTGCAGTGCCAGTCATTTGAATAAACTCTTTGGTTATGATTTCCACCATTTCTCTCACCTAAGAAAGATCACATATAATTATACAAACTAAAAACTAAAAGTATTAATGTCTTCCTCACAGACCTGTCGGGGGTCAGCACTTGCATGGATGCAAAGTAGTCCGCTGTCCTCATAACTATGATGGTATGCTGTAGCATTGTACATCCAATGATGCCTAGAAACAAATAAAACAGTACTACTGCAGTCTTAACTTCTTATCGGTGATAACATTTTGATCTGTATATTCTCACCTGTTCAGTACATTTAGATAAAGGCGGGTAAACATTCCTTTACCGGGCCCTCCAGCTGAAAATGAGCCCCCTCCACCCATCATCATATTTAGCACAGCAAATGGGATAAAGTCTTCCTCCTATTAATAATGATGATGATATTAATAGTGTTGAAATAATGTTCGACACACATTAATTAAAACTCCAAGTTACCAAGAAGGAGCAACTCTCCAGGCCAATCATGATGTGTGTGAGCTCTGGAATAGGGGTTGGGCCTAGGCTCACATCTGACATGTCCTTCTCCATCTGTAATATTATATAATACATTATATGAGTATTTGCCATAATGTTTAGGTACATCTGAGTATAATATAAAATCACCTTAATGATTCCTCCAGTGTACTGTGCCACAGACATGTCCACATTTGGTGGCGCACCAATGCCCCAGGCTGGCTTCACGTTTAGCAGATACTTTTTAGCACATTCCACAAGCTGCTCATGGTCAATACCTACTCCAGCAAGGACCATGCGCTCAGGACAGTAATAGTTGCGAAGATAGTTATGAAGGATGTTCTTGTCGATTTTGTCAATATTTTCAACTGGACAAAATCGTGGTAATCCTACTGTGTTCCCTCTGTATGCTGCCTACAAAGAAAAAGACAAATAAAAAATTCCATATGCCCCTAAAATCCAGAGTACTTTCTCTGAGGAGCGTAAACTTACAGCATGGATCATCTCAGTAAGTAAAGGTTCGGGGTCTGGCCTCATGTTTAGATCTTCTAGCTCAAAGCGTATTGCCATTCGTGTCATTTCAATCTCCTCATCTGCATATAACATTTATGCAATTGCACAGGTTCAACGAGCGATTGGCAGACTAAGGTTAGTCTGCCTAAGTTGACACACTTACCTAAAAGACGTGGCTGTAACACTGCATCTGATAAAAGACTGACCACTGTGTCCAGTCCCTTCACTTCTGCAGATACTGCATACATTGTGGTATCTCTGAACAAAAAACATCCACACTGTGTTTAAAGAATTATTTCTGTAAAGAATAATAATAGTTCATAAAACTTACCTTGATGTCTGACAGTCACAAATACCCCCATGTTTCTCAAGGGTGAGGAGAATTTCATCTTTACTTCCATACTGTGCTGTAGACTAAAAGTGAAATGTCAAGTATTTGACAGTCAGCAAACACCATTTCAAACACAGTTTGGTTAAAAGTTCACTTACAGAAAATGCCAGTTTTTCTAAAAAATGTGCTATTCCGCTGGGATACTTTGTTTCATGCCTTGATCCAGAGTTTACTAAAACTACATATACAAATAAGACATTAACAAAAATGTAAATGCTAGAAGTTTGTTTCAGGTACGGGTACTTACTTCCAACTGTGCAAAATTGGCCAAACTTGTTTTGAGAAGCCACTTTGAGGCCATTTTCTAAAGTGGTTATCTTGGTTTCATATTTTTCATGTCCATCAACAGATGCAAACAGAGGTTTGGGGATCCCAGGTAGTGGCGTTGACAGTGATATATTTGGGTATGAACCACCACTACTATACTTTCTGTAGGCTGCGATACCAAACCTTTGACAAGAGAAGAGAAAGGGAAAGAGAGTAATATTCGTGACAAAGTCATTAAGCCTTATGTGTGACCCACTGCATGTTACATAACATGTTCAATGCTTGCAAATGGATTGCAAATATGAATCTAAAACAATTAGAACGCATACATCGTAAAGGTTACAATATATTCATCAGCGTGGCATGTGCTGATGAATATATTGTAACCTTTACGATGTATGCGTTCTAATTGTTTTAGATTCATATTTGCAATCCATTTGCAAGCATTGAACATGTTATAAGTAAACAAGTAAGTAAACAAGTAAGTAAACAAATGTTATAAATGAAATATAACGACACTGTTTATAAAACTAAATACCAATATTCCACCAAAAATAAAAGGTCAAGAGGTAGATTTTGAGATTATTTATGGGTAAAAGAGCAAGCTAAACCTCCTCCATGTTATGCACGCACAGCAGGAAGACAGCTAACACTTCGAAACAGCACTATAGACAAGTCTTCTCTCCGGATGTTTACATTTTGTGATTATTATTATAGTTTACCTCCGGACACCACTCCAGGTTCTACACCTCGACATGTGAGCCGCCATCTTTCATCCTCTGAGGAGAGAGAGAACCCGGAAGTCGTCGGAACAGTTTCCGTATCCAGAAAACATGACGCCAAAACAAAAGGCAAACTTTCAAATGGTTTTTGTATTCGTCCACGAGTCTTGTTCTAAGTCTGTATATTTTAACATGATCAGTAATTTTGTTTTTGCAGCCATTATTCTCCAGAAAAACATGATAGGCTGATATCTCTGTGGCGTTATTTCCATGTTTGAGGTCCTGAATGCACATGACAGAGCGAGAGAGACTACTCTGTTTAACAGGATCATTCTGAGGTTATCTGTGATTGATTTGTTCACACAAAGTGGTCCTAAATGGCATTTCCACCTGATTTAACATTTTGGTTAACAGCCTTGCATTCCATTAACAAAATCCAACCAGGCACATATCGCTCAGTTTTTGGCCAGTGCACGGTACAATGTTTGCCGATGCTAAAATGTCTCTTTTGTTTTGGATGTTATGTTTTCTTTCATTTATGGGTTCAGCCTATGAGCTCCAGGATACCATCCACAGTTTGAAAGAAGAAAACCAGCACTTGCAAAACCAACTGGAGAACCTCACTCATGCTTTGCAGGACTTGAAACATCTATTCTCTGACTTCTCCAAAGGTAAGTAGTGTATACACACAAGCTTAAGGCCACAGTATCATGTTGTTTAATTTGCCAATTGATTTCTTTAATTTCCTCCCCAGGAGAAGGACATAATCCGGAATACCAACAACATGCCTGGAAAGGATGGTCCCAACATGGTGAGTTGATTTCTTGGTTCACTTACTTCTCCAATGATCACTATCAAAAGTTATATAAAAACATTGGGGGCAGAATCTTTATTCGTTTTGATATTCACAATATCTTATGTTGTCAATATTCAAATGTTTTTAAATGTCTGTATGTTTAAAACAGTTTCTCATATGACTCTTTTTTTCAGGCATAAGTCGTGATACTCAGCAGATATTGGAGCATATTCTGTGTTCCCCAGAACTCCATGGATCTGCTGAGACTATCTTTGACTCTTTTGGTCTTTGCTTTCTTGTCTGTGTGCTGCAGAATGCTTTGGCTTTGTGGTAGATTCGATATTGCTGTTGCTTGAGTTACTGTTTTGATTGTTGTTGTCAATAATAGAGATGTTATTTATTCACTACAAATGCTAAGGCTTTTCTCTTCGCCTATTCTACTTCTTTAAGCCACCCACACACTCTTACACTGAAAGGGAAACCTCTTGATCCCAATTATTTGTTTGGCAAATGTGTCCCATCTCTTGACTGTTGTGAATCATCACCTGATTAGCCTAATGCAAAAACATTTGACAATTAAGTCAATGGTGTAAAATCATCCACATATTACAGAAATCATTCTTTGAATTTAATAAACTACTGTGAACTTTCAGTGAAAGGCTTTCTTTGTACAGAGACATTGTGGGACAAAAAAGGAACATGAAATGGTAACAATTTAGTGGAAGAAAATGATACTATTATTCCGTTCTTTAATATATATGGACCAGTCCTTTTCTTCTCCACTGAAATATATATATAGAGCAAACAAGAAGTCTGGAAAGGATTAGTATAAAAGTATGATAATAAAAATAGTAACGTCAGTGCAGTTTTCCCAGTGGAATTGAAGGAGGAAAATCACCTTTATGATAAAAGATTTCCCAAATACATTAAGTTTGTATCTGTACCACTGTATCTGCTATTTGTGCTTTACAAATAAATAGATAGATATTTATTTTTTAATTTTATCTTTTCAGATCTATGTTGTAATTCAATGAATTATGCTGACAATAAAATCTGATTATTATTATTATCATGCATTTATTTACTTTCTGTTCCAAAATATGTAGATAAATTATGTGCAGTGAATGAATTGTCTGTGCCTTGTTGCCGCTGATGGCTGTGAATGGACAGACAACGTGAGTGTGATGGGGGTGGAGTGCACTCCAGGCGTCTGACACAGAAACTGGCGACTGATAGAGATGGACTAGGTGCAAACTGGACCATCCTTGGACACACGTAAGTCAAAGCTACAAGTGTAGTTATTTACTATGTGTTGTTTTCATAATGCACTAATTATCTATGAAATATTATTTTTATTTGATGGATATGTCAGTGCACATTGCAGTAGTTCGTCAGTATGTTTGGTTAGTATTTAACTGTAGTGTGGATTCTAACCATGTAAACTAGTTGCAAATAGAACACATGAAATGTATTCAGTGATCTGAATTACAAAAGACCAGTAAAACAATTGCACAGTTTGATTTTCCAGAGGTTATAAGTTTTTGTATTGAAAGGATCAATTTGACTAGTTTGAATTGGGAAATCTGATAATAGCATTTTTTCAACTGGTCCTAAACTTTTAAATGTGGGGTTTTCATTTTGTATCATTGATATTTTTAGAAAAGTGAGAATGCTAATTTTTTTCCAAAACAGTTATTCATTTCAAAGTTTGTATCCTTTTGAGATACTCCTAATCTTGTACATTTTGTGTATGTTAAATATACTTAATAATGCAGACTGCATTGCATTATTTTTACATAGTCACTGTTTTGCCCATAAAAGGTGTTTGGAGGCTCATGAAAGCCCCATCATCAGACAGAGCTTTCCTTGTAGGGACCAATAACTGATCTTCCAGTACAAAGCTGCGCTACCTCTTTTTATGTCACTTCCATTGAGTGGAAGGCCACAGTGCAAGCACTATAAAGTGGCAGTGGCCATTTAAGGGACTAAAGAGGACAAAGCTAAGCCTGCAGCCGCACAAACCGAATAGAAGCAAATGGAAATTGGAAGTTCCACATTTTAGAGATAGTCAGGAGTACATTTTATGAAATTTAGATTAGTGTTGTTTAAAGATACAAATTCAGCCTTCTTATCAAATTAGGTATGTGTTGAATGTGCATGTCCTTTTGCAGCTGGCATCATGGATGAGGTTAAAAGATGGTGGTCAACTCTCCAATAGAATGCATCTTCTAATTTCCACTTGTATAATCCGGCTCATGACATCCCTCCTGTGCTCGCTGTTCTTGTCCACCCTAACTGTCTCATCTCAACTAAGTAAGTGAACAAAAGCATCATAAATAACTCACAAGTCTATGAAAGCCCTGCACCCAATTTTGAACCAAGAACTGCCACTTAACCATGACAGACAAACAAACCATTGTTGTGTATGATTCATATACTGTATATCAATGGACAATGCTTGCTCAAAGCTAGGAAAGATTTCACACTGGCTCCTTTAGACTAATAAATAGTAAACTCCTCCAACGCAGTAACTTTTTGCTAAACAGTGGTTTAGCCTTCTCTATGATCTGGTGTTTTTATTTTTGTATTGCGTTTGTAAATCCACTTGAACTTACCTTAGCAACAGTCGTAGCACATACAGTAGCTTATGTTTAAACTGACATCTTCCATTTTGAGGCTAACATTAAGGGTGATGTCATCACTCTGTCAGTCCACTTCTAATATACTGTCCATGGTCTGATTAAAATTACATGAATTAGAGTTCCTGTCATTCAGTTCCTATCTAAACATTAAATACAAAGGTAATTGTCTTGTTTTTTGTTGATTTGTTTTTTCCAGGTTTGGATGATGTTTTCTTCAGTCCTCAAGATCAGACAGCACATGAAGGAGCGACAGTTTTCTTTCCCTGTGTGTCTGGAGAGAGCTCGCCTGCGGCCAGCATCAGCTGGCTCAAAGATGGAAAACCCGTCACAAGAGGAAGACAAATTCAGGTAAGGAATGAACTTCACAGTGTAACTTTTCTTGTGGGGCATTTGCATATTGCATTTTGTTTGCATTCTGTATTCTATCATGTTTAGGGTGAATATGGGGGCGGCAGTCAGAGGAAGACGTCTGGGACTCTACATCTTTACAACATAACGCTTAATGATGACGGAACATACACTTGCATCACTTTCAACCCTGCACTTGGCACCAGCAAAAGGAGCAGATCGGCTAAACTCACGGTGCAAGGTGAGTTTCATTTATTGCACATAAAATTAAGCAGTTAAATTGGTGAGAAACATAGCATTCTCTTTTCTCAGGAGTCCAACGAAAGCTGCAAATTATTCGCGGCCCTGACAACATCACCGTTGCTACGGGAGACGGGGCATCCATGCACTGTGCTGTCGATGGCTTTCCTGTTCCCATGGTGCACTGGTTCAAAGACGATGGCCTCCTGACAAACGGCTCGGTCCCGTTGAAGCTCCAGAACAATGGGCAGCTGCTCACATTCAGGTGGAGCTCTGGAATAATATTATAGAAGGTGTAAAATGGACACCTCAGATTGTCTATTAGAATATGTGTTTGTGAATGACAGATTCACGACATAACTATGTTTGCTTTTGTAGAAATGTGAGCAGAGATCATGAAGGTTTCTATCACTGTGAAGCATCCAACCGAAAGGAAATGGTTAAGTCACAGAAAGGCTATTTGCTTTTAGCAGGTAATCACCATCTCAGTCTTTTTTGTTTTATAGCCACAATTGCCCTGATTGACACAGTGGTGCAGTGTTTAGCGCTTGTGCTTCACTGCAAGAAGGTCCTGGGTTCGATTCCATCCCTAGGCATGTTCTTTGTGGAAATCACATGTTCTTCTTGTGTCTGCGTAGGTTTCCTCTGGGTGCTCTGGTTTCCCCTGCCACTACAATCATGTGCAATAGTCCCCCATAACACTTTCCCTGACCCCACTCCCGCCCCTTTTCTCTGGGGCCAGGACTCCCCTGAAAAAGAGATTCTGAAGTCTCAGTGGGATTCTCCTATAGTCGAATTAAAAAGCCAATCCATGCATCTTCTGTCCACCAGCTTCAATCTGTCTCTCACCACATAATAGTTGTTGGCAGAAGAGCTTTGCACAAGAGCAATTTAAATACTATTCTTTGTAGTTTAAACAGAGGCCACTCTATAATATTGCTAAACACTTTAACTTTTGTAAGTGCAACAGGATTCCAATATTTTGGCTGTGATCGATTGACAGGACATGCTCCTTATTTTCAGACATGAACTGGAGTTTTTTGAAGCAGCCAGTGAGTGTGACAGTAAAGAGAGGGGTCAATGTGACAGTGACCTGCAGACCCCCAGACAGCTGGCCCCCTGCTCTTGTCTCGTGGTTCAAAAACAATGTGCTGGTCACTCCTTCATCGAACGTGTCTGTGCTGCCCAGTGGAGACCTGCACTTCCACAGGTTTGCAACAAGTCACTTTATCATTACATACCACGTTCACCACGGCTTGATGCATTATTGTTTATCAGTGTCAATGAGGATGACGCTGGGAGCTATTTCTGCAGAGCGTCTAATACTCGCCTTCAAAGATTTATCACATCCAGAAGAGCTTCAATAACTGTCCTGGGTAAATATGCAGTTAGTTATTCTACTCATCTTTTTATATTCAATCTCATTTAATTCAAGCATTTGTAGTTGAATACATTTTTATTCATAAGGAACAACTAGTTTAACAGCTAAGTAATTTTTAGTTTAGTGCGTACGTTTTAGATAGATAGATACTTTATTGATCTCCCGTAGCAGAAATTCAGGTGTCCAGCAGCCGTATAGAAATAATGTCAAGCCAGTAGCCACATTATGTGATGGTAAACCTGTAATCATGCCCTGGGGCAGACTGGTGTGTTCTCAATGTGTGTACCTGTGACAAGGGTCCCTTCAACACTCACACACCTGATTCGCACCACTGTCAGTGATGTGTCTTGCCCAAGGACACACCAGCAGATATACTGAGATAACTGTGATATCTGGTATTACCTTTTCTCCTTTTCTAACAGTTCTATAAGCTACTGAATTTGAGTTTTTAAGTTCTCGAGTGACAAATTTTCGTACTCCTAACCATGTTCATTATGAAGTCTGTTTTTCATGCCTTATACCTGAATTATGTGTAGTTAATGTATAAACAATTGCAGCACCTTGACCACTTTCTTTTGTATTTCTTGTGTGGTAGCTCCTCCTTCAGTGCGTTTGAGGCCCCAGGTGCTCACTGTACCAGTAGGGGCAAGTGTGGAGCTCCAATGTCAGGCCTCTGGTTCTCCTCCACCGTCCATCAACTGGTTCAAGAATGGCCACTCCAAACAAACAGGCGGTAAAGTTGTAAAGGGGTAAGAAAGACTGTACTTTTAAGATTCATACTGAGACTATAGTGACACCAGCAATCCATTTATTATTGGATATAAATGGATTGCTGGTGTCACTATAGTCTCAGTGACACCAGCTACACACTGGCCCCTACTGGTACAGTGAATATAATGATAATAATTTAGATAATAATGATAATAATAGGTTTTTTATAGCGCTTTTCTGGACATTCAAAGATGCTTCACGTGTCATTATTCTTTCACTTCATACACGGTGGTGATAAACTACTATCATAGCCACAGCTGACCTGTGGCACACTGACAGAAGCGAGATATCCAGCATGTGCCCTTAGCCCCTATGACCACGAGCAACCATTCTCACACACACCAGAATCATTCCAGGCAATATTGGTGAAATGACTTGCCTAAGGACACAGTGTTCAGTTTAGCCGCCCCTCTGTGCCACCTAGTGTTCCCAGAGGTCTCCCATCACAGTACTAACCAGGCTCTGCCCTGCTTAGCTTTAGAAGTCTGATGGAATCTGGCTTTCACATTCAAATCTAAATAGTTTCTCTTTATGTATATTGCAATCCTTCGCCCATTAGGTATAATTTTGTATACCAGTTTTTGTCGAGCTGGTTTTAGGCCCTAAAGGGAATAGTGTTTCAAATGTGTGCAGGATCTAACTTACTCTGTTTTTTTCTTACAGTTTGTCACATGCAACGCTCTACATTCATTCTGCCAGAAGTTACGATGAGGGTGTGTATGTGTGTCATGCCACCAACTCAATGGGCACCACTCAAAGCAATGCTGTGCTGAAAGTAGCAGGTAGAACAACATGATCATCCTCCTGTAATATGGTAACATACATGGTTTAACTCCCTTTATGCTTTTCAGTGAGCCCTATCATAGTGGACTTCGCTAGTCAAGTGCGGTGCAGGATTGGTTCTGTGGCCATTCTCCCCTGTAAGGCTGTAGGGATTGTTCCTATAACTTACACTTGGTCCAAGAAACAAGGAAACCAACATATAGCTATTGCTTCAAATAACAACATTTACACTGATGGTAAATTGAAGCAGATTCCTCACAAAGAGTTACTTTTTTCTTTGACTATGTTTTTCTCACTTCATTATGTCCAGGTGAAGGATCATTACATATTTCAAGTGTGCAATGGTCTGACGAAGGGGAGTACTTCTGCATGGCCAGAAACCATGCTGGACAACACACAAAACGATCTTTCCTTAAGGTTTCAGGTTTGTGCTGTTTTATTAAACTTACATTTAATACTGCATACTATGTTCACATAATTAAATGCATTTATTTTTTCATGAAACCTGCTCAACCAGCAGTGGTTTTGTCTGGAGTGAGTAAGACTGAGATATTCTTGCTTCAGTGTTTCCATGAGACTGTGGATTCATGTAGTGGCTGCTTATTGTGTTACTCATTGTGTGTTTGTATAGGTTTGAGCTCGTGTTTGGATTCACTGTGATTAATTATATCATTTCTTTACGTAATGTATATGAATAAAGTACATGTTTCCATGCAGGATTCCAGCTACGATGAAAACACTGAGGCTGTTGCAGAGCACCATCTTCTTACCACAACTCGCCAAACCCAACAAAAGCAAACCCCATGTAAGTAACTGTCAGAGGTGGGAATTGGTTATTCAGTTCTGACATAAATATATTTTAAGTTGCTCGTTCTATTAGGTCTATTAGAATATATATATATAATACCAATTTGCTACTTTTAATAACATAAAAAACATGTTAGCTGTCATGGAAGAGACTAATAAATAGAGGAGTTTAAATTCAACAAAACCAAAGCCTAAAAAGATCCGTACCTGTTTAGTTGATTTTGATAATATTGATTAAGGAATATTATTAATTGCATCTCATTATAACAATGAGACGCAATGATACACAAGCCAACAGACTTTAGCCGTGTCTTGACCTGTATGAAGTTCTGCAAAAGTCCAGCAGATGGCACTAAAACAATAGAATGTGTTCATGCATCGACAACACGGAGGCGGTGGTTAAAGTTCCCCTGATCCTTCCTTGAGGTTTCAAACTCGCCCGTAGGATCCGGGACTCACACGCTGCTACTGCTCACATTTACTTTACATGAATGGAGTATACACATACAGAACCATTTCTAGATCAACCCCAGCAGATGATTTTCATCTGTAATCTATGTTTGTGTAGCCACAATCTATGCGAGATTGTGGCTACACAAGTTGGATTGTAATTGAAATTACTTTATTCACCCAGTAAAAGTGTCAACTACGTACAGCCCCTTTAATGAATAAAATATGAACAATGTAAATCTTGTAATATTTAGTCTTACCAGTTTGAACCATACACTCACAACAGTTCACACACATTGCCCCATAGTGCAATATTTGACATAGACTTTTGATTTTCAGGTATTTCCTCGGACTGCTCTGGGATGATTCCTGCATCTCTCAACTTGCTGACTGCTCATACTACCAGCCCAAGTCATTATTTTGTAACACAAATGCCCCCTCCCATTTCCCCACCTCCACCTCATCCAAACTTCAGATCATCTAGTTTCCAACACCAACTTTCAGCATCTAGTCATCCCACCTACACTGAGGTTTCACCACTAAAAAGTCAACCTATACTAAAAAATACTAATGGACCAATACAGAGCCTTCATATCTTTGAACAACAAATCCCAAATGGAGAACAAAAAACGTCATTTTCAGAGCTTACAAGTGATGGCATGATAGAAACCACATCTAAGCTCGTAGTTCAATCATTTTCTACAACTTTACAAGATGAATCACAAAACAAAGATGTGTTTTTTTCAACTTTAACTCCAGAAAAAAAGCAGGAAACTTCAGAATCAGAATCTATACTTTTAAAACAAGGACACCACTCGACCCCAACTCATACAGAATTGTCCCTTTATTTCACCCAAACATATTCTGAATTGTCTTTGGTCACTAAACAAGTACAGGATAATACAGATCCGTTATCAACATTTACAAAATCCTCGTTGTCTGCACCTCTCCAAATCCATCCCCCTGTATTACCAACACAACAATCTCGCCTTAACTCAAAATATTCACTCCCAAACGATGAATCCTCTGTGTTAAATCAAACATTGTCTAATTCTATGGATTTCCAGTCCACCGTTTCTAATAATCACCCAATTAATCAGACTTACAATGCTTCAACATCGGTCAATGACTTCCCTATGGTCAATATAACTGAGCACAAAGACAAAAGTGACGGACAGCAGTCAGTGGAGGCTACAGAGAAGAGCATATCCCAGTCACCCAGGTAAATATGATACTGCAGTCATGTGGTTTTTAGAGATGGATATCTAAGACTACATGAAGTGGGAAAGGTGGCATATGGTATTTTCTTGTAATACAATAGCTTTTCTTTTATTGAATCATATTATGTAGTGTATGTTATATAGTTTATATTCCGTTAATTCCACCACAATTCAGGGTTCCTTTCTTTGACATGTAAAATACAAACTGATGCCACTCCCCTCAGCAAAAGTAGGCTTTGACCTGGTGGGCAGAATCTCAGTCACTACAACACATAATACACCACACAGGTGTGATTGGAGGTCATTATTGATCCAGGTAAACGTAAAACGGCATGTGACGTTGGATAGTCTATCAGACAACAGGACAACTCAACAGTCTAATTGTAAACATGCATGTTGGACACAGCTGAGCTAGATATACAAGTGTGAATACATGAAGACAGTTAAACTTCTGCTCCACAGAGTGACACAGAAGGCTCCGTCATGGCTGCCCATCCTGGAGAAACACGACATCCCAATTGTGGTCGGTGTTGGTGTGTCCTTGGCATTTATTTTCATCACAGTCACTTTTTATTCCATGGTCCAGAAGAATGAGCCGATCCTGACTAACAGAGCAGGTTTGGAAAAGGATTATTCATCTGCTCGTCCAATAGTTTTGTATTTACTTTACTGTGTTCACAGCTCAAAGAAATGTAGGAGTCCCCAAACGCAGCACAAGCTGTCGAGCTGCTGGTCGGACTTATGAAAACAGGTGAATGACATATGTTGTGTTATTGTTGAGAACAGCTAATGATCCATTGTTATTGTCAAGGCTCTTCATATCTTTGGTTTCTAAACAAGGTAGTCAAGTGAATCTATTGACTGGCCACGTTAAGAATCTATTTATATCCCGCAGAGGTTTTGAAGATGATGACTGTGTGGCTGTGATAGAACAGAGCCCAAACACTCGGGCGCGGCCCCCGGGTCCTGGTCTGGTCTCTGTGCAGCTGGAGAACACCTCTGAAGAGCCGGATGTGTCATCAGGTTTAGACCTGCACTCAGTCACAATAGAGACCTACCCCGAACCCATCCTCGACACAAAGGTTTGTGAGATGAGCAGATAATTCAATTGTTTTTTTTTTTTTCCCTCCCCAAAAGTTTCCTTCAAATGCCACACAGCACATAGGGCAAAACTGTGTGGGGGTAAATGTCATCATCGAGCACCAAACTATGCCTTGGCAAATCTAAACGGCATGTATTTATTACTCTTGTGCAACATACCATTTTTCCCTGAAAATATATAAGTTTTCCTAATAAGGCTGAAGCTTCTCAGGGAGGAGAAAGATACAGTGCCTCGCGAAAGTATTCAGCCCCCTTGAACCTTTCAACATTTCGCCACATTTCAGGCTTCAAACATAAAGATATAAAAAAAATTATTTTTTGTCATGAGTCAACAACAAGTGGGACACAATCGTGAAGTGGAACAAAATGTTTTGGATAATTTAAACATTTTTAACAAATAAAAAACTGAAGTGGGGCGTGCAATATTATTCGGCCCCTTTACTTTCAGTGCAGCAAAGTCACTCCAGAAGTTCAGTGAGGATCTTTGAATGATCCAATGTTGTCCTAAATGACTGATGATGATAAATAGAATGCACCTGTGTGTAATCAAGTCTCCGTATAAATGCACCTGCTCTTTGATAGTCTCAGGGTTCTGTTTAAAGCGCAGAGAGAACCATGAAGACAAAGGAACACACCAGGCAGGTCCGAGATACTGTTGTGGAAAAGTTTAAAGCCGGATTTGGATACAAAAAGATTTCCCAAGCTTTAAACATCTCAATGAGCACTGTGCAAGCAAAAATATTGAAATGGAAGGAGTATCAGACCACTGCAAATCTACCAAGACCCGGCCGTCCCTCCAAACTTTCATCTCAAACAAGGAGAAGACTGATCAGAGATGCAGCCAAGAGGCCAATGATCACTCTGGATAAACTGCAGATAACTACAGCTGAGGTGGGAGAGTCTAGTGTCCATAGAACAACAATCAGTCGTGCACTGCACAAATCTGGCCTTTATGGAAGAGTGGCAAGAAGAAAGCCATTTCTCAGAGATATCCATAAAAAGTCTCGTTTAAAGTTTGCCACAAGCCACCTGGGAGACACACCAAACATGTGGAAGAAGGTGCTCTGGTCAGATGAAACCAAAACCAAACTTTTTGGCCACAATGCAAAACGATATGCTTGGCGTAAAAGCAACACAGCTCATCACCCTGAACACACCATCCCCACTGTCAAACATGGTGGTGGCAGCATCATGGTTTGGGCCTGCTTTTCTTCAGCAGGGACAGGGAAGATGGTTAAAATTGATGGGAAGATGGATGGAGCCAAATACAGGACCATTCTGGAAGAAAACCTGTTGGAGTCTGCAAAAGACCTGAGACTGGGACGGAGATTTATCTTCCAACAGGACAATGATCCAAAACATAAAGCCAAATCTACAATAGAATGGTTCACAAATACTGTAGACGTATCCAGGTGTTAGAATGGCCAAGTCAAAGTCCAGACCTGAATCCAATCGAGAATCTGTGGAAAGAGCTGAAGACTGCTGTTCACAAACGCTCTCCATCCAACCTCACTGAGCTCGAGCTGCTTTGCAAGGAAGAATGGGCAAGAATTCCAGTCTCTCGATGTGCAAAACTGATAGAGACATACCCCAAGGGACTTGCAGCTGTAATTGCAGCAAAAGGTGGCGCTACAAAGTATTAGCGCAAGGGGGCCGAATAATATTGCACGCCCCACTTTTCAGTTTTTTATTTGTTAAAAAAGTTTAAATTATCCAATAAATTTCGTTCCACTTCACGGTTGTGCGCAACTTGTTGTTGATTCTTGACAAAAAAAATAATTTTTAACATCTTTATGTTTGAAGCCTGAAATGTGGCAAAATGTTGAAAGGTTCAAGGGGGCCGAATACTTTCGCAAGGCACTGTAGTTTGTGTTATCAATACCTGCAGAGTGATAGCTGATGTTAAACCAGTAAAGAAATAAAAACATAATAAACCATACAACAAAGCCCTTTATTTTAAACTGAACGCCAAACAGCAAAGCAATTAATCCAATTGTATTTATGATGTGCAGTGCATTCAAACATAAAATGTAAGTGAAAATAGAATCAAAACCATACCTTCAAAATACTTTCAGATACTTAAATCTTTCAGATCGACGACTCGCTGGATGAGGAGAGTGGCCTGAGCCTTTCGCAGCCCAGCGTCCAGCTGCGGAGCGCAGAAGACTGGCTCAGTGGTGCAGATGACAACCACAGTCGGTACCAGGACACACTGCCTCCCCCGTCCCTGCTGCCCTCTCCCTCCCCCTCTCCGTCACCCAGACTGCCTCAGAGCCTGCGCTCCTCGTTAACCCTGAGCGGCGAGCCGTCCACCGCTCCCCTTCACCACAGTCTGAGCGTCTGTCACAGCAGCTCGCCCCTGCACCTGTCCCACCATGTCTCCATTGGCTCCATAAATGTAGCTGTGGATGTGAACATCCATCCAACGTGTTTCTCTTCCATGTCTGTCCAGTCCAGCACGCAAATCAGCGCAAGTTCAATGTTAACTGCCCCATTGGCTGGCAGTGAGGAGAACAACAAGTGATGTCCCCTGTCCTGCGACCATACAGCGCCCTCTTGTGGTGAGATACAACGCTTCATCTCACCACAAGATCAGCTTCGTCTCCTCTAGATCAGCTGTTTCAGATTTCATTCAAAAATGCATTCTTTCTTGTCCTTGTTTCATTGACCTTTTATGAGACATGCGAGGTCCAGATTTGGTCAAGTTTAAAGCTGGGACACCTAACTTTTGCGGATCATAAATAATTCGTGGTGTTTGTCAGAAAGAGTATTGTAAGGTTAAGCTATCCTCATCTTATTAGAAAACTTTTTTTACATACTGGTTTTAAGGATCTCATTACATAGTTCCATTATTTTTAGTATCTTAAGAACCTAAAAACAAAATAATGGTGTCAAGGTCAATGAACTGGAGACCAAAGGATAATGAAGGAAGGACTTTTCTTTTAAGACAAAAAATCAAGCATTTCTGATAGTGAGCTTCCTTACCTTTTCTTTCACTAAGTTAATAGTTTCCCTGAATATTCCATAGTATAGCATTAAACACATTTCCACAGATAATGTAAAGTGTAATTGTATAGTCTTCTCTTCAATTAATAACATATAACAGCTTGTTTTTGGAAGTGTAACAGAACTATATTGAACAGTTAATGTTTGTTAGATTTACGTTTCATGAAGTGACGGGCCAAAATTATTACTATATTGTGAATTGATTTGTCTTAGTATTTTTATACTTTTACGGACACCGAAAAAAACGTATAGAATATAGAGTTGAATATGTATTGTTTGTTTGATATATTCTTAATATAATGTGTATATGACTATGTGTTTCACTAAAGCTGCCAAGGAAACAGTATTTCTATATATAATAGTGCATATCAGTTCATATTAATATCAATTGTTTTTCTGCGCTCATTGACTGTTATTACTGGCTTTCAAAAGCAAATATGCCAAATATTTCAGTAAAGATTTCAACACTATTATGTGTCAGTGGTGATTCATGCTCGTACTCTTAAACGTGTGTCTGGAGGCATTGTCATGAACGAGATAAGTGACTCAATCAGCTCATAATTCTTGTCAAAATCTCGATTGCAGTGTTCATTGATTGGATGCATTGTTGCGTTACTGTCACTTAAGTGCGGCAGATTCACTCAAGAGCCACACGTGTCTTTTTACCTCACAGGATTTTGAAGATTTAGGAAAAGCACCGAAATGTTGTGTAATTAAGAGTAAGCTATACACAGGGGTCGATACCTGTACACATTCAGATGATGTCTTCACTGACCCATTTTCAGGTCGTGGTTTTGTGTGTGAGCAGACACACCCAGCTTCTGCAACATACTGCAGGAAAAGGCATCTGTTTCCAATATCGTCTGTTCATCTTTGAATTCAACAAATCATTTTATTGCAGCAATAATATCACAATGATAATAATACAATGAAATGACAATAAGCACCATTGTTATAATAATAATAATACTAACGATCTCAAAGTTCATTCAGTGATTTTTTGGAGTTAGCCTGCTGCTCCTTGCTTGGGACTCGGAAGTGCACATATGGACACCATCTTGAATTTTGACACACAAGTTTTTGCAGAGTTGAACTTTTGACAATTTGGAAACCTGTCTCCCCTCCAAAAGTACTGGGCTTCCAGTAGCCAGGGGAGCAAAGAGGATTTCCCAGCAACCCTTTTAAAGAGAAAGGAGCACCCATCTCCACCATGCTCTCTCCAAAGATGGCATTAGGTCGCGATTTCTCCAGCAGCACACCAGGGAAAAACTCCAGAGCGTCTATATCTCCATAAAGATCCTCTAAGCCTTTGGCCATGTCTGAGTCATCTGATAAAGCAATACAACAAAATCAATCAAGTTAGTATGTATCCTTACACTCTGTTATTGGGTTTAAAATATATGTTTAGTGTCTGGACAACTCGTGTAACAAAAAACTGACAACTGTGAAGTTATAACAAAATAATGCATGTTTGTTGGTTTAAAAAAATAATCTGAAGAGTGAAGCCATGAGTACTATGAGCAACTTTTTCCTGTTTTTGCTCCATCAACTCTGATACTCTTCCCTGTCCCTTCTGAGGGGTTGAGCAGTGTTAGTTTTGAGCCATACCTAATATTATTTATTTAGTATACATAATATTATGCATATGAAACAAAAAGGTTCTACTTTGTTTGAATCTAACCACAGCTCTTCCATGCGTTGAATGCGCCCCTGCTTTCCTTCTTGCAACTTTATTGCAACATTGGCTTTCTATTTATCACACTTCCAAAAAGGCCAGATGTGTGTAGTATGACTGAACTTGGAAATGACTTAAAGGCACACCGCGGACTTTGTGACCTAAAGAGTTGACACATGAGTTATTTTATATGAATACTTGGGCCAATATACAGCGCTTGACACTTGCAATGCTCCGAGCGGGGCTGCCCTCTTGAAATACCGCCCATGTAAGTTTCGAGCAGACGGACCGTCTGCCACCAGGTCACGTGACTTGGAAGAAAGACTTGCTTTACGGCTACAGGCGCTGATATACTCATGGAGCTAAGGCTTTTGCTACTCATTTTTCACCTGCTCGACTCCTGGTCATGGCTGAGGCAAGGAAAAATTTTAAACCTTTGGAGGAGGCTAAAAAGAGGAAACGCGAAAGGGATCGTGCTGTAAGCTGCATGTCTGTATGAGCGCTGCTCTTCACCTGGTTCCTGGATGTCATCGACCGCAACGATGTCATTCCACGCAGCACGAGCTAGACGCAGAACTCCCTCATCCAGGATATAGAAGTCCATGTGTGGTAGATTACTAATGCAGCGGTCTGGAGGCTGACCACAGCAGAGTCTCTCAATATCTGTAGGCATGTCTCTACAGTTTGAACACACACACCAGTGCATGCTGTCTGAATACACACTCAAAAGACACCGGCTGACTGTTTGACTTTTGCGACAGTGCTGAGTTGCTTGTGGCCACTAGGGGCGCTAAACGTGAAAGTTGCAGGTCTAGCGCCCCTAGTGGCCAAGAGTTACACGGTGTGCCTTTAAATCATTCCCAAGCAAATTCCTAGATACAGCCTGCAGCTCCTCCAGAGTAACCATTAGCCTTGTATCTGCCTCTGTGATCTGTGTTGTCCTTGTTGGAGCGGTGAGTTTGAACAGACAGCCGAGTCTGAGTAGATTTGCAGATTTGTCCCATTCTCTTTCCATTTCCAGATGATGAATTTATTTAACAGTGCTCTCTAACCTATATGCTTTACACCTCTCCACAACCTCCTTACTTCATGATTTTGTTTAGTGACCAATACACTCAAAAGAGCTCTGATGCCCTAACAGAAAAGCTGTAATTATAATAAGAGTAGATTGCACTAGGTGAGCTCTATTTGATCAATAGGGCAAGATGAGAGCATTCAGCAGTCCTTAAAGCTATTTAATGCACTCAGGGAAATAATGTTCGGTCACTTATCCAAGCCCCACTTTTCAGTTTTTGTGCAGGAGTTTAAGCTGTCCAGATACTTTTGCAAGATACTGTATTTCATACCAGTGAATTCAGAGAAGGATGTATACGGTTTGAGGTTAAACTTCTTCCTGTATTCATTAAAAGGTTGAATGCGTGCCTGTCTCGACTCTCTGATGGTCATTTCTGCAACTTTGAGCAAAGCCTCTGGACAATTTTTGCCTCCACCAATCTGAAAGTAAGAGAGAATATCAATGAAACTGATGGTAACACATTGGACAACTTTATGGAAACCTAAAATGCAGAACAAAAGGAATCGCCACTTTTAAAGACAAGTTTCACTTCCTTCACAAGACTTCCTGCGTGATAAAATGTATTTTTATAAAGCCCTAATTCAATACGGCAGTCGTCTCGGAGGACTATAACATTGTTACGTTTCCTACAACAGATTAGAGAATCAAACAGTTTGATGATGTTACCTGTCCAGCCACTTGTCGAGAGAACGAGTCCACCAGTGTCTCCACCCCGAAGTGTGTGAGGAGGGAGGTGTTATAGACAAACTGAGAATAAGAGACTTCTTCATGGCCGATGTTGAAGCTGTCCGGCATCAGCGGGTGCCAGTGGTACAGCTGGCCAAACTCCAGCGCGATGCGGTTACTGTACTGAAAACGCTCTTTGAACAGCAGCGTCGGGTCAAACTTAAGGTTAAGAAAGTAACCGCTCAGGTGCTGCACATACTCTTCTATTATGATCTTGATAATTTCACCTGCAAAAATAAGATATGAAACTATTACTTATGAGTCACTGCAAATTATACCGGTCATGTATTTGTGATGTTTTTGAGAGAGGTCACAACTCTATCACAAGTCACAAGTTATATACAGGAGCTTTGACGAATACAAGTGTGAGAACCACTGTTCTCCAACATTTCAAGGTTAAAACACTTGATAAAAACTGAACTGTATAAGTCCAGAATGTGAAGTCGGTACCAATGATAATGAGCCTGGAGGTCTGGAAAAGCTGCTCATCGTCCCAGGTGGGGTGTTCAGCTCTCAGGATGTCACAAACACGGTTGTGTTCTCTCAGCCACAAGGTGGCGTACAAGCTGAGTCCTGGGAGGAGGCCAAACAGCTCATGACCAATCGCCAACTTTTGTTCAGAGGGAAGGTCCTCAGGATACTTCATGTACACAGAGGTTTCGGACACTGTGGGCGGATACACCTCACCACCGAGTAGCTGTGAACAAAGTGATAAACATTGAGTATCAGCAGCAGCTGTGTTAGCCATGCTTCTGGTCCATGAGGACAGGATTATAAGAGGTGTATTTCTACCTGATATTTGAGTTTCCCATCAATGTGAAGTCTGAGTTGATGTTGACGTTCAAGAGTGTCTCCATAAATGTGACTTGCATCTACCTGTATGTCCGTTGCTGATCAGTATGTGTTGATTAATCAATCTGGTATTTATTTGACTTACACCATGTCCAAATGCCTTTGTGAAACCTGCTTTGACTTCATGCTTGGTTTTAAAAAACTGATGGGTGAAGTGTTGAGCCATGAAGGCAAACATCAAATTGGTTCCCCGAGGATCTGGCCTGAATTTCTTCCTCTTAAAGAAACGCTCTGCCAGCACTTTTGGATCAGGAAGAGTAAGTTTGCCTACAAAAACATATATGGACATTCATTGCAGAATTCAGTACAGCACCATTAGAATCCCTCACCCTTGGTTCCCATTGGCAGTGGGCAGTCTCCAGGCACAGGAGGCAGAAGACGAGTATAGTATGAGACGTTGTAGTAGGACTCCCAGCAGAGATATCCATATTGGGTATTGTACGTAGGAGGACTGGGAATAAGATTGCTCCTAACTGAAAATACACAATTATGGGTATATGATCACAGTAGTATAATTGTGAGAGAATACTTACCAGTGAGAACTAATCTCATGAACGTGTCTCTGAGAAAAGTATCATTTAGAATGTCCCAAAACCACTGGAAATGAGTGAGGAGGTAATGAGCTAAAGAAGGACTTGGTTTCAACATGAGACAAATCCAGGTCTCAAACTCCGCTGTAAGACATTTCATTTGACCATCGTTCCAAAAGTGTTATGTTGTTTTCTTTGTACAGATAATAATATCCCATAAACTTACGAACAGTACAGTTGTCTCCATAGTATCCGGTTTGCGTGCAGTCACATTGATAACGGTCAGTGCCGAATCTCACACACACCCCTGAGTTTTGACATGGGTAATAACAACAGGGGTTCACTGCAAAGTAAAAATATACATTACTTTTACACTACTAAATAGTGGGTGAAATTGGATTTGAAGATTAATTTAGTCTACTGTGTCTTAATTGGACATACAACTTGTTCTATCTGTCTATCTGTACACTCAATTATGTATTTTTATTCATTCTCGGATGTGTGAGTACATGTACGCATATGAATGGTCATGAGTAAATGTCACAATCATTTTGGCACATTAAATAGAGTGCCAAACTAAGATTACTGCTTTTAGTTCAGTTGTAATAGTGAAAAAAGGCATTTTTGAATCAAAAATCTAAATTAACATATGCGTATGATGCTGCTCTATATACAATTATTTCAGTGTCTGTTTCCTTTATTTGCATCCGTGGGCCCCAACACAACCTTATCTTCAGAGGCCATTTCTAATAATGTTTCCTCTTTTCATGAAAAACTCACCAAATATGGAGATGTCGAGCTGCAAGAACTAGTAATCATGTTCCATATTGTATACAGAATGTTTTGTAATCTCACAGAATATGGACTTTTGGCAATTTAAGGCAACTCAAAGTGCGTAATAAAAAACAAGATAGAAACAGTCACACAAGGAACTAAAATCATAAATAATTACAGCACATTAAAAACAGTGCAGATAAAATCCTCAAATTGTACACACAGCTAAACAGAATCGTTTTTAACTTTGAACATTGTCAGATAAGAAGCTGTACTAAGACATCATTGTTGTACTGCATTGTCTCACTTATTTCCAGATGATTATTTTAATTATGAAGACACTTATCCTTAGTCACATCTTGAACCGCCTCTCATTTATACCTGCTCTGGAGTCAGCGGCAACCCTGTGTTCTTCACGCCCCAAACTGCTCAGCATCACCATCACCAACAGGTAGGACACCACTGAACCTAAAGTCCAACATACTGTCAAAATCCTACTTCTTATGAGCGTGTGGCGGCTGGAGGAGCAGACTTACCTCCGCGGGCTGCCATGGCGCAAGTAAACTGTGTGAAGACACATTATTTCACGCCTTAAGTTTGGAGAACAGGGTGTCGCCTCTGCGGTTTACTCTACTGTAAATGCAGTTCAGACGCTGTGGTTTTGTAGGCCTAACTCGATATTACAGTATTATTCACAGACAGCAAATGCATTCTTAATTTAACACAGATTATATCATTTATTTATTACACGTAGGCCATTCCATGAGACCGTGCTGTAAAGGCCTGAATTAAAACGAAATGCATGACACAAGCACATGCGTCTTAAATGTGTCTGCTGCCCCCTATTGGAAAGAGTGTTACTGCATCGTTACGTGCAAGGACTAGATCAAATATCTGTATTTGTAATCTCATATTAGTCCGTGCTTTAGTTTGTGATTGGAGTGCTAAATGCATCCAACTGATCTTTTCATAATTTCCCATGTTGGTTTGAGTACAATCAGCTTTCTGGAATCGGAAGGTACTTTTAAGTCAAATGTGTGTGTCAAAAAAAAAATAAACTGTACAAACGTTTATCATAATAAAGGAATTATTACTGTGGCGGGATATAGACAGATGGGTAGGGCATGCGGAGATTTAAGATTGTAAACAAGAACTTCCACATATATTTTTTTTTTTTTAGAAACGTGTACAATTCTTGACTGGTGTCCCATAAATGTAATAAACATGATCTAGATAAATATGATCAATTGAGTTTTATACTAACTATAAATACATTGTGAGAAGATGAGATGGAGTCAGTGTAGTCTCTTTATTCTGAACTTGCACTCACTGAAAATAGACCAGTCAACACTATCCCTTTTTTTGTTCTGCTGTATGAAAATATAAGTTTGAAATAAACACTTACTTACTTACCTGTTCTCAAAAACAGAATAAATACATCGAGTGGTTCAGTTTCCGGGAAAACAGACCTTCACAATGAGATGACAATTTGTATGAATCCAAACCATAACATTAACTACATTTTTTCAGAAATGATGTGGCTCACGTTCTGACTAGGACTAAGAAAAAAAATCTCCCATTACACCTAATCTGAAGGATCTCCACTGGTTCCCTAACCCTAACCCGGACTGACTTTAAAATCCAAGCTTAGCCTCAGATCCACAGACCATAACCTTCTCTGTGACTTTAGCAGAAACAATTTTTCCATTTAATCTATCTTATACCAGGAGTAGTATAATTGTATTGAAAGTTTGTTCCATATGCTCAAACCAAATCTTCATGCACTAACATTGGAAAAACATGTTAGACAAAAGACAAATCAAGAGCAAATACGTTTTTAATGTTATTTGGTCAATAATTGTGAATATTTATCAAACCCTGGTGTTTTTTTCCTCACAATAACTCTGTAAGTGACATCCCTACTTGTTTTAGACAGTGGCTGATACTAGTTGTTGTTTTAAATCAAAAATGAAGATACAACATTATGGCTGTTCCTAACCTTTTGTGAAACAGATGTTGCGCTGTGTTGTCTACATTTCACAACTGAAAATTAGAGCGGACCACAAAAGCATGCATGTATCATTTATCTCCATCAGTCCACCACTTCACTTTACATCAACAAAGCCTCTCGCACAGATCAAACTTATTTGTGCTCCGGTGTTTTTCTCATGTACGCGGCTTTGATTGATACGAGAACGAACGAGAAGCATCAGGAACTCATTATAAAATCATCCTTTCCTGCCGCACAAGTGCCTGAAAGCTCTGTATCTGTTCACAGAGAGGCCGTGGGTTGCCATGGTTCCTATACGATCGTGGTAATTGATGTCAGATGTGTTTGTGAGCAGACTTGTGTTGAGAGTAACCTGGAAGCATTTATTTTATAGGAGAGATGTTTAGTTAAGCCGTGCTCAGGCCCTGGTGATGAATACGATTGGTGAAAGTAGTGAAGGCTTGTTCCTGGCTGCTTCCTCTGACTTGATCGGGTTACACATTACAAAGAAAGGGTTTGGTCTTTATGTGAAAGCAGAAAATTAAAGATTTTGGATTTTTTTTTTTCTTTGATAGTCAAGCTCTCCACATCACATCATTAATCAATATTGTTATTAAGATATGTTTTTGAGTAACTAGAACTTTGGCCAGGCCCCATTTTTATTGGATTGAACCTGGTTTAGAATTTAGCTACTATTGTGTTGTTATTGTCTTCTTGTTGTTTTCTAGTCTTCTAGTCTCTAGTCACAGGGGTCGATCCTGGGACCTCTTCTGTTCAATCTCTACATGCTGCCGTTAGGTCAGTTAATACGCAGAAACAAAGTTTCCTATCATAACTATGCAGACGACACTCAGATCTATGTCTCACTGACTGCAGGAGAACATGGACCAGTGGACTCACTCCTTCACTGTATCCAACAGATCAGTGAGTGGATGCAAAACAACTTCCTTCAGCTAAACGCAGACAAAACTGAAATGATTGTCTTTGGTCCCCAGAAACAAAGAGAGAGCGTCATCTGTCACCTACAGTCTCTCTCCCTAAAACCTTCAAACAAGGTCAGAAATCTAGGGGTAATACTGGACTCAGACTTAAATTTTAATAGCCACATCAAATCAGTAACATCAGCAGCTTTTTACCATCTAAAAAACATTGCCAGGATCAAAAACATAGTGTCTAAAGCAGACTTGGAGATTCTTATCCATGCATTTGTCTCCAGTAGGTTAGACTACTGCAATGGCCTGCTCACAGGTCTGTCCAAACAGGCTGTAAAACAGCTGCAGTACATCCAAAATGCAGCAGCTCGAGTCCTGACTAGAACCAGGAAGTACGACCACATTAGTCCAGTCCTCAGGTCTCTGCACTGGCTTCCTGTGGCTCAGAGAATAGACTTTAAAACAGCTCTGCTTGTGTACAAGTCTCTCCATAGCCTCGCACCAAAATATATTAGTGACATGTTAGTCCCATATGAACCAGCCCGGACTCTGAGGAGCACAGGGACTGGACTCCTGTTAGTGCCCAGAGTCAGAACTAAACATGGGGAGGCTGCTTTTCAGATTCATGCTGCTAAAATCTGGAACAGTCTTCCTGAAGATGTGAGACAGGCCTCCTCTCTGACAATGTTTAAAACCAGGTTAAAGACGGTTCTGTTTAACTGTGCATACAACTGAGGGATTTTATATTTTTATCTTTCTTTTTAATGTTCTGTGATAATTTATGATTTTAATGCTCTCTTGTTTTGTTCAGCACTTTGAATTGCCTTGTGTATGAATTGTGCTATATAAATAAACTTGCCTTGCCTTGCCTTGCCCTTGCCTAGTCTTTAAAAACAACTTGAAATAATAAGAACCGTTATCTAAAACACATTTTACGTTTTAAATGTGGAATATGAACACCTCTTACCTAGATATTTAGTGAATATAATTTGTTACTAATAGTGCTGTAACTAAGTTGTAGTTACAGCAGAACGGCACGGTGGCTGAGTGGATAGCACTCTCGCCTCTCAGCAAGAAGGTCCTGGGTTCGAAACCCGGTCGGACAAGGGCCTTTCTGAGTGGAGTTTGCATGTTCTCCCTGTGTCTGCGTAGGTTTCCTCCGGGTACTCCGGTTTCCCCTACCACTAAAAATATGTCCAATAGCTCTGGCATGCGCCTCCTATACTGGCGACCCCGCTCCCATCTCTGTGTGGAGGGAGAGACAAATGCCCAAAAAACTTTACAATTGTAAACCGCTTTGAGACTCAGATCTGCAGTGAAAAGGCGGTATACAAATAAAGATTACTTACTTTCATCCCGATGAATCATTTGGAGACACAGGTACAAAACTTAATCTGAGTTTGACTCATGTAGCAGGAGTAAAGTCACTAGAGGAAAATTTAATTGACCTTTTTTATGCCATTACTTTCCTGTTTGTGTGTTGAAATAACATCTTTCAACAAATAAATGTGTTGAAACAGCTGTTAATGCTTTATTGATTACTGCAAATGTTGAATTGTTATTGTGCAGTGCACTGTGTAACCACCAAGCCTTCAAATATACATTTCTAGTTTTACTTGTGCAGCATGGACAAAGTTTTTCTCCAACTCACTCTGGCTCTGATTGACATTTTTTGTAAGTCAGTTTTGGACTTACCTGTATTGACCTACAGGTTTTTAATGCACTGTTGACTCAACATCAGCAATTTAATTATTATTTATTTGGTTGGGACAGTACATGTTAATGAATGCACTCACAAACACACACTCATTCACCCTGAACTATTGCATATGTTTTTAGTGGTAGGGGAAACCGGAGTACCCGGAGGAAACCTACTCAGACTCAGGGAGAACATGTAAACTCCATTCAAAAAGGCCCTGTTCCAACCTTCTGCAGGAAGGGATTTGGACATAGCTCTGTCAGCTGTGGAGCTGCTAAACTAATGATGTTGCACATGTTCCTTTTTTAGTGTAATTATGTGAACAGTAGAGAGCCAACATGAGAAAGTGATTGAAAATATGCTAGACTTGTTTGTAGAAGTAAAGAGTGAAAGTAAAAAGTTTGGGAGAAAAAAGGAAGTGAAATAAAGTCCTGGTGATTTCATACTTTTTCCTATACAATAGCTTCGTCATGCAGTGCTGTCGTCACATATATGTGTTTTCAAACCGCGAGGCCACACACGGCTCCATATATATGTAAGTAGCTGCTCTTATCAAAACAAATAGAGGGGTCCTACTTAAGCTCTCATAGGTCCGTCCCAGTGCCCTGTGTTTCCTGCCCAGCCTCCTGCACTTCCTCGGTCCTCACATCTCTTCTTTCCCTTCTCTGCATCGTGAAGAGAGCAGCAGGATATTGCAGTCGGCATCTAACTAAACACACCGTGCTTCCAGCTCCAGTCACCTCTGCTCTGAAGTGATCCGATGTGACAGTTAAACCCTTGAACTGAGCGTAGGCATAAGGGGAGGAGAGGCACTGGGAGGCTGGGTGGGCTGTAGGTGCTGGCCTCTCTGATTAGGAGTCTTGTTCGTCTCTGATTGGTTTGGGTCACTGCAGGTGAGGTCTGGGAAGGAAGTGGGGTCCCCCTGGAGTTG